TCAGTGTCTGTGTCTCAAAGTCGGTTCACCTAGACATTCTCCAGGGAGAACCCCTGGCCATGGGCTGACAAGACCCAGCTTCAGAGCCACCAGACCAGGAACCAGCATAAGCTTCGAGAATCCACCAAGGCACAGACCCTGTGCAGGGCCCTTGGGGAGATTGTGCAGCCACCGGCTCATGGGGGCAAGCTCCTCTTTCCCGTGGTCACTGGACCTCAGCTGCAGGCCTAACCTCTTGCCTCTGGTTACCCAGGCCGTTGGCCCCTTCTAAAAGAGGGGACAGGTGGACCAACAGTGTCCTTGGGAAGGGGCAAAGGAGAAGGGAGGTGGGAGCAGGGAATAAGAAGGCCTGGGTAATGAGGAAGAAGCAGCTCCATCTCCCACCCCACCCCACCCCCACCCCCACCCCCACCCCCATGTTTGGGATTTGGGATTTGGGATTTGGCCCTGTGAGGGACCCTGGCCGGCTGCCTCCGGGAGCTGGAGCTGGAGCCAGGAGCACTCACATCCGTCTCATCTCCTCATCAGAATCACAAACAAACACTGTTGCCTAGAAACACGGCCTCACCCCAGCATCCCCAGACTGAGTCGTGGGACCAGAGCCTAGATACTCCCTGGCCACTGTCCCCTGCCCAACACTTTCACTTCTCAGGTGGGAAGCCTGAGGCCCTGAGAGGGCCAGGGTCTTGCTTGGGTCCACTGAGTGAGTGGGGTAAGGGAGGTAGTAAGGTAAGTGAGTGAGGGAGGACCTGAGGTCTTCAGCAGGCCAATCCCACACATCACCACAGCCCATGTCTTCTGTCTCCAAGGCTGCACAGTCCTGGACACCCAACATTGTTCAATCGATACTACTGACTTCAATTTTGAATTCATCGCTCAAAAACATCAGTCCACAAGGCTGAGCGCAGTGGCTCATGCCTTTACTAATCCTAGCACTCTGGAGGCTGAGGTGGGTGGATTGCTTGAGCTCGCAGGTTTGAGACCAGTGTGAGCAAGAGTGAGATCCTGCCTCTAAAAATAGACAGGTGAGGCCACTCCTGTGGCTCAAAGGAGTAGGACGCTGGCCCCATATACCAGAGGTGGTGGGTTCAAACCCAGCCCCGGTCAAAAACTGCAAAAAATAAAAAATAATTTAAAAAAATAGACAGGCATTGGGGCAGGTGCTTATACTCCCAGCTACTCAGGAGGCTGAGGCAAAAGAATCACTTGAGCCCAAGAGTTTGAGGTTGCTGTGAGCTATGATGCAACAGCATTCTACCAAGGGTGACAAAGTGAGACTCTGTCTCACAAAAAAAAAAAAAAAATTGATCCACAGAATAAGAAGTACCCAGTGACCGTTCCCACTCTCGGACTTAGCTGTTTGATTTCAGGACTATCCCCAAGGAACTGACCCAGGAGATAAA